AAAAGAACCTAGATAATCACATTGATAATCTATTGAGCGCTTGGTTTTGAACCTTCTCTGCTCTGAAAAGTTATTTTTATTTTGCAGTTTGAATTCAGTTTATCTTGAAATTTTCGAGTATGATTAAAAGTTAATATTTAATTAGGAATCATCTGTTTACATTGTTAAAATTCTGCTATCAATTTCTTACTAAAGAGGGCTTTAGACAAGCAAATCGTAATCTATTAGTTATTCATCAACTTAATATTATTACTATTACTTGATTTGACTTATTGTTTTATTTAATCTTTTAATTCTCAAATTTTCCTTTTTTTAATTTACTATTAAAATTTTTCCTTAATTTTCTGTTTTAATTAATTTAGCAATCTAATCCTTTTAAAGATGAGTCATCAACCTTTACATATTAGAATTATTTAAATTGTATTATCCACTTCTAAACAATTGACTTATCAGATTAAGTTGTTCATCTAATTAATATTGATAATTAATGCTTTACATATCAAATTTATGGGCTTTTAACTCTTATTCTAACTTAATTTGATTATTGCATAGACATATCGCCAAATAGATCTTGGTCAAATTATCTCTAAACTTTGCTCTGCCTTCATCGTACATTTTTAAAGTCCAGTATATAAAGAAGAACAAATTTGAAAGTAGAATAAAAGCGAAAAATAGCTTTTAGAATGGTTCTGACAAATAAACTGAACCTCTAGAAAAGTCAGGATTTTATTCAATCCACTCTTTGGGTTTATTGAGAATAAAAAACAGCCCACAATAAATAGTTGTTATTTAAGTAACAAGGGAAAGAGTTTCCAAATCATTTAGGACTACTGTATTGAATGGCTGCTTCTTGAAATTGATTAGTAAAAATACAATCAGAAAGAGAAAAACAATTAGAGCTTAAGCTATTATTCCAAAGTTGCTTATGAAGACTGCAGTAAAAATTATAAAAATTTTCCTATACATAATCACAATTTCCCAATAAAAGTACTATTTTTTATATCCTCTGTATAAAAATCCATATTTTTATTTTACATCTAAGTTCTCGAGCTTCTTTCTCATTTTTATTAAAATGGATAAGGCAAAGAATGGTATTCCTAATCCCCAGACAATAATGGAAGGCAAAGCAACAAAGCAACTATAAAATGTATGTTCAGAGGACCAGCACAAAATTTCTAAATCATCTTACACTCTCTCTTCTCCATCTACTTCTTTGCATTTAAAAGCATTAAATGAAAAAGTGACCAAGCTTGGATGTGCCAAGAATAGAAGAATTACCAAGCTTGCCATTATTTTATAACCGATTAAAACCTAATTCTTCATTAATTTTTTGTAAATGCTCCAAATTAATGTGCATATAATGACTAGTAGAAAAGGAAATAATGCGATGATAATTAGTTTTTAGAAAAATATTCTGGAATTCTGTGAATTTTTGATATTATCTCCTGTGTCTAGGAAACAGTCAAAGCTCAATATCTAAGTTGACTAAGTTGCCATTTATTTAGTAATTGAAAAGAAGGAAAATATTTGTTATGACCATTAGAAATCAAAAGAATTCGTCATTAAAAGAAGTTGAAAATGATTCAGCAATATCTTCATATATATACTTGTAACATTATTCATGTCTTAGGCACCCTTTAAAGTTGATCTAATCATAAGAACAATTAAATTAACTGCCGCTATAAATATAACGATTAACCTTAAGATATTTAACCCTCTATTAGGGCACAATGAGCACTTATAATCACCATCTCTTGAATAGCCCCTCTAGCAATCTGCACATAGTATACCCTAATATCCTTATAAACATTCACCTAATGGATCATTTAAAGGAGGAATCATTCCCAAGCAAGAGTATTCATTTAGACATAGCAAGAAATTTTCTGATTTATTACTAATTCTCCAAAATCCTGGAAGAGGCCCAATTTTAGCTCCTCCTTAGCAAATTGCTTTCTCAGTTGGACAGATTTGGCAACTACCTGGTTATGTCATTTTTACCAGAGAAAAACTCTGCTCGCATTTGATACATTTTCCTACAATTGTAAAATATTCCCCAATTTCACATTCCCTTAAGTTAATTTTCAAACCAAAATTTAGGTCTGTTTTACCTAAATTTTACATTTTTAACTTATTAGATTTTTTTGTTAAATCAATCCCTTCCGTTGTAAAAGTAAGATTGTATGAGCAACCTGGAGTACCCGATATCTAAATGTTCTGTATAATTGAAACACCTCCTATCATATCATAAGTCATAAGACCTTCAAGGATTGGTGAATATAAACTCTGCTATTCATCTAAATTTGTTGTCTCAATAATTACTCAAACTTTGCTTTGAAATTCAGAGCCAACTATTTGTCCATATTTGTCTACCAGAGCTAAATATATAATAGGTATTCTGTCCCCGCTTCTTTGAAAATTAATTTCTTAAAGCTATCTGTGAGAAATGACTTTATTTTAAATATCCAACATTCTTAATTGAAAATCATCGTTGGAGTACAATCCAATTTCAATCATTTAATTTTAATATTCCTACAGAGTAATATATTTTAAATTCTATGAATAGCAAGCAATATCATTTCCATAAAGCTTAGCTTAGTTATTCAAGAATAATAAATCATCTTTAATGAATTCTGGCTCAAGCTAATCCCAAAATAGGGCTCCACCTTTAACTTCAGCAAAATTGTCTTTAAAGACATTGAAGCCTTCAAATTTCATTTTGCAATTAAGCTATTAGCTATTGCATGTGTAGTATATTGCTCCTCCTGTCCCTTAATTTGCTATTTAAAGGAGACTATTTTGTTCAATTAAAGCCTTATTTTGAGAAAAGGTAGAATTAACAATCTTAACTGATTGAGCATTTTCAGCATAAATTGCTCCTCCCATTTGGGCTGTGCAATTCTGAAATTTGGAATCTTATATAAAATATTTTTCTTCTTTTTACTGTTAAGTATTCCCTTTATTAATGTCAACCTCTTATATAGATATTGCCCCACCGATTTTACTTTTTAAATTAATAAACTATGATGATTTAATTTTGATGCTATTACAATAATTACAAAGTATTCCAGCACCCATTTTAGATTCATTATTCTAATTTATATCTTTTATTTCCAAATTTTCAGCAAATAAATTAGCCTATTCGATATATATTGAATTTTTGGATTTAGGATTTTGAAGCTTGACATTGTTTAGTGTCAAAATATTTTAGGAGTTTGTGATATAGATATCTTCTCCAACTTCTACTGCAGAGTTATTTATGAATTTTGTTCCTTCTCCAATAAAGATACTTTAGAAACCAGAAGTATATATTGCTCCACCTTTGGAATTAGCTTAATTATTTATAAATAATGAACTTGAAATTCTTATGACACTATCTCCGGAAATATATAAGGCGCCTCCCTAGTGAGAAAGCCCATTCTAAAAATAGCAGTTATTAATATCCATAAAAACATCAAATATTAAAAATATAAATGAGCCAGATGTTTAATCACTCATTAATGCTTAATCATTTATTGTCTTTTATTGAAATATAGTGTTTTAAATAGTAATATTAGCAAAGCCTAAAAGCAAATTTTTAGATCTATATTTAGCTTAATTATTATTGAATAAAACATCTTTAATATAAACATTAGAGTAAATCATTGATATTGTATTCTTTTATGC